TTTAGATTCAAATATGCGTGAAAGTAAATGAAATACGAAATTAGCGATGATACGAAGTTACGATTTCATGTTCGACGGAACTTCCATTTCAATTTTCAATTAATTAAAGACTATACAGCGTTTAGCTATGCACGATGCGAGCAGAGAGGAGAGATAAAAGACGAGGAGAAGATTTGATGTCTTCTAGGTGAAGAAAGAAGGCGGATAAAGGATGAAAACGGAGGCGGTGTGGAATTTCAAGCATGACGCTCATAATGGTCTGGCACATATTAGTTTATCTCGTAATGATCTCAACGAAGAAGCCCCAACCTCCTTGGCAATCCCTACCAACGATGCCGCGTGCTCCAAGGAATTCGTTCCCTCGGTGTTCTCGAGAAAGAACCTGGACGCCACTCGAAATTAATTATCGAGATCAATAAAGACGTCGAAAGATGTACGAGGGAGGAAATATAAATTGAAAGGAATGAATTGACGTTTGAGAGAGCCTCCATGTTTATACGTACAAGCGTTTCACAGATGAATGACGAGTTAATACTTTGACCTAATTATATTCGATATTGAAAATTCATTTGTTATTTACTTTCTTTCCGTATGTAGGAGTGGTTATATTACTATGTAAGTTTGTTATGTTTGGAGATATTTGAGAAATATAAAATTGTGTATGCAGTGGCTTCGAAGGAGCTTTAATGACTTCTTCTTCGCTATGAAATCACTTCAAATGCTGTACGTTATATTTTGAAGTGTCATTGCAATTATAATGAAATTGTAAAATTAATTGCAAGCTTCATTGGAGTAAGTGCTTAAAATGTGACTTCAGAAGTAAGCAAATGTGTGGCAGAGTATTTTTTCATTTTGTGGAACGTTTTTAAATTGTGTAACTTGTCTGTTTAATTTAAAAATTAGTCGCGAACATGTTTCTCTTATTTAGGTACGATTGTCTTAATCGATCCACTAATTTGTCAATTTTTTCCCCGGAGAAAATGGGAAATGGGATGTATTTAAATTTATCCTTTTTCTAAAATTATATTTATCATTATTTTAGCGAAATATGTCAGTTCGCGATATTACATAAACGTTCACTCGTTAAAGTTTAATTGAAACCTTACAATCGCGCATTGACCCTACTCAGGTTTCGACAATTCACAATACGCCGCAACTTTACGATCTCGCCAAACGTGTAGCATGATCCTTTGTGAATGGAAATCTAACTTGAAGATATTGAAAGCTTTCCTCCCGTACAAAGTGATCCTTTCGATCCATACTTTTATAGAGTATCCGTTCTTCATCTCTTTCCTATAATCGTACAAATATTTCTCTAGGCATTTACAACGTTATCATTCGTAGAAACACGAGAATTACGGAGATAAGCAGAATAACCGGACTAAATTTTCACAAAACAATCTAACAAATTTACAATACTTTTCTTCTATTTTCTGTAAAAATATGAATTGATACTTTTCTTCGTATTGCGATACCCGGTTTGCTCCAATTCCTCGAAACTGGGAGCAGATATTAGGGTATCGCTGAATTAAAACACTTCAGGATCGTCGCTGCGTAGAAACAGAACTGTATTTGACGGAGAGTTTTATATTACGTGACGTGCGCGTGGTAAAATGGAGAAAATAGGGCTATTTAAGGGTTCTGGGAAGATGGACTTCGGGTTGTGACTATGCAAGAGAGTTGGAAGGTGAAGAGTCCAGTATGAGCAATGGTGAAAGTGGGTGACTCGTTGTAAATACAGATAACTAAGGATTAAGAAGGAAAATATTTGAGGGTGTAACCACATTTCTAAGAAATATGTTATTTCTGATAATCCTAATGTGAACTTAAAGAACCGTACAATATTGCACAAAGTATGAAGGCAAATAATTCATCGATTATCAATTATAGTTATAAATTTATTAAATTCCCCAATCAATTTCTTACTGCCATTTCACAAAAGTAATTGAAAGAAAAGGACGAAATCATAACAAAGCTACTGTAGAAAAATAACTAAGGTAACAATACCACAAAGTATCAATAAACGTACCCTAACGGCAGTTTAATATCTGTTGATCCCAGGCGAAAGCCATGAAATGTACTGAATTTCGATCTTTTCTTTACTCCGATTTCCAATATCTTCGACTCCGGCCATACATTAAATTCTTTCTCAATTGCTTTATACTATTCTCAGACGTAGTAGTACTCTTTCATTCCTTTCCGTGCCTGCAGTACCCAAGTCTCTTATATTCGGCGGCTCTATAAATATAATGCACATTTGGCCTTTCTCAATGTTGTAAGCGACTCTGCATCATATACGGAGCATGTTTTCGGCCGAGCACACTGTATATTCTGTATCTGTTCTAAATATTCAATGGTACATCGCTTATCTGTATTTGATATCTCTCTCTCCCTCTACACATTCGAGAGCCAAATATAAATTTGAACGTGTTTATTTTTGATACGTCAAAGGCAGTTCGAAATATCGTCCACTATACTCGAAATATTGCCAAAAACGGAGAGGAATTTTCGAACTGATCGATTATCTAATTAGGATTAAGAGGCTGTTTGATTAGGAATTAGGACGGATTACGTGGAATCATGAAATCGGGATGTACAAACAGTCGTAATAAATGTAACATTATAAATGGTAAATGTAATGGTAAGATACGTTCTTCGTTAGAGAGAAAACAAATTTGTTTAAACCTGAATTCAGTGTAGAGGGAAGATCAATTTATTTACACTTTAATTCACCGTAGAGAAAAAATTCATTTATTCGAACTTAAACTCACTATGGAAAGAAAATGATAATTTATTTAAACTTAAATTCACTGTAGAGAGCAAAGAAATTTATTTAAATTCACCGTGGAGAGAAAAGAAATTTATTCAAATTTAAATTCACCGTAGAGAAAAGATAAATTTATTTAAACTTAAATTTGCTATAATAAAGTGGAATTTGTAATAAATTGCTTTGATAATTTTGAAGTAATTGTTAGCACAACTTAAGTAAATTTAACACAGGATAGGGTGTTAACCAAAAATGTATTAAGTGATAAGCGACTGCTAAGTGCTTCGGTGTCCGTCTCGCTCGACGGCTATTTCCCGAGTGTCCTCTCCGCGTCGTATCCCGCGTTGCTCCGAAAAACCGTTGTAGCCCCCTCGTTCGACTTTTCGGGGAAAGGGGTTAGTTTATGGTACCCTCAGGTACCCGGCGCGCTTTCTCTTCCTGGGTGACAAAGTCCAGGCCATCACTTCGCCGCCGAAATCTCGCATTTCTTACATAATTTTTCGTTTTAGTAAAAATTCCAAGCTTTAACCTTCTATGCCTTCATATTCTTCCTATAAGAGAATTTTGTGGAAAGTTGAGGGGTAAATTGTTAGGAATAATAGCAAGTATACTGCAAACTATTGCTATATTTCGGGAACTATATTCACTTAACTGGAGCTAAAATATTGTCACTAGGAGGCACATCAGTAATTATGTCGCTATACTGAAACGAAGTGTCTGGGTTATCAGTAAAATATCAAGCTGAAATAATTATTAAGGAAAGGGGTTGCTTGCTACAAAGTTAATCAGCATTTGAATATCGAGTAAAGTAGCTTGTTCTAAAACAGTATAAAAGTAGTATTTACAGAAAATTTTTACTGTCGTTTATTTTAATCATTCAACAATACGTTAATGAAAATTGCAAGGTACACCTGTATATGCAAGTTACAATTCAAAAATCTATTAAAATCTGTGAATTTCACGGATTGGAAAAATTGACTCATTTTAAATTACGAGAATTAATAGAAAATACTAATTTAAAAAAAATCAATATTTTTAGCTTGTTACTATCTTTTATATTTTGAAACTTTTATACTGGAAAATATGATGAAAATAACACGAGCTTTATGTGTGTCACAATATGTACGAGACAAGTAAATATCGATTAATTGAATTGGGAACTGTCAGAGACAGAAAAATGGATCGAATATAATTATATATGTACAAGCTCTCCCAGCTATTTACCATGAAACGTTTTACCTATTCGCTTTATAAAAATAAAGATTTTGCAGCTTTAATAACGAATTTTTATATATTTTACAAATATGAATATTGTACATGTATAAATTTTCAGTATTTTCCTCTTATAGCTGCATCGATTCCTGGCTCTGTTTGAGTGTACTCGTATTTGACTGTTACTAGAATTACAGCGATAAATTGTAACGTCTGACACATCGGCAAATATGCAAACGCGAAAATTGTCGAATTTATGGTTGTTAATTGAAATGTAACGAGTCGTTAGAAAAGCAAATGTATCTTAATAAGCGGGTCACGATTTGTTAAAGTATTCGTTTTAATAAGATTATCATCATCTTGTGTCGGAAAAAGTGTTAAGGCTTCGTTAAATTGGGTAACGAAACTGTCTTAATAGGTTAAAAAAGAGAAATTTTCTTCCGTAAGATGTGCTTCTATCAAAAATATTTACGCATCTACAATAATAGACAAAACTACTGTGATAAATTTAAAAAAATTACGAAAGTAATGATATAGTGGTATTATTAGAAACGTATTCTTCAAATTGCATCGACTTCCATAGTCTTTCACCTAAATTCTGCCATTAATATCGCACAATTGTAATTATAGAAATAAAATCAAATATTTCTGTTATATTACATTACTTGTAACGTAAAATATTGTGTTCGTTTCAGATCATTTTACGGTTCGAAGGGGATTCCATGGTTCCTGACATAAAACAAACCAAAGTTCATGGGAATGCGTTTCTGGCAAAAGGGTGAGCCGACTGGCTCCGTGTTCTACCGATTTCTACTGGTGCATCCGTGTTTTTGATGCGTCAAGAACATTGCCGTAATCCTATTGCGAAACGGGAACGAGGAACACTGCAGACATCTGCCCTGAGAACGACTTTATGCTGGTAACCAAGGCCGGAAACCAGAACGCCAAGAAAGGCGCAACAGGGGGCTAAGAGTACTTCCGTTTCTTCCCATCGAAATCGTACCGTACTACTACTTCCAGGATGTTGCCTGCTAACGTCGTGTCCTTTGTCAAAAAGGTAATTTTTTTCCACATTTTTTTATTCCCTCACATTTTTTTTTTTATTAATGTTACTTGATATTTCTATTCTTCTTTTCAAATTAATTTCTGGTACGTATTGGGGTAGTTGTCCCTCTTTTTCGCGTTTCTGTGTAAAAAGATTAATTTTGGATATTCCTGTTTTTGATGCGATACAACCTATATGACTTTTAACGATAGACAAATTTATCGAGCGATATTTCAGCTACACTTATCCGTGACAGGTAGTATTTGAAGAAATGTGGTGCTAAGGGGACTTATCTGTACGTTTTATTTAGAATGATGGGAAATAAGTCGGAAATACGGGTTTTCTCGAATATTAAAATTTATCAGATAGTTCCAAATAAATCTGTGCTACAAAATGAAATATCCTAATTTGCAAGCTGAAACGAAGTTTAGTTTACCAAACAGTTACTCTTGAAATTATAGAAATTCTTCCCTTAGCTTTTCAGACACTTTACGCGCGAATTACAAATTTAAAAGTTGCACAAAAAAATGTACCGAAAGAAGGTACAAAAATTTTCACTCGCTTCTGAAATAATAGAGATAAGGACACACAGTGTTCGCCCTTCCCCTTTTCGAGAGAGAACGAACGATACGTATTGAAGCAATTTAGGAAAAGTTTTCGAGAGAGATTCAGGGGTATCATAAAACAGACGGGCATTCATTTTCAAGTAAACGGGTAGCATTTCATCCGTACTGTTCTCTCGCCCTTTAGAACTCGATTCCGGCAAATTTACAGCGTCTACTTTAAGCTTACACCATTGAGCGGAAACATGGCCTTATTTCTTTGTATCACCACAATCTGACGTGAGTTAGGAGTAACTGACAATGAATTATATTCCTTTATCTGCTGGCAGTACGCCTCGAGTATGGGCTTAAACGGCATTGTTTCAAGATCGTGTCAAGATCCGGCGATCGAAGTGAGCGGATTAAATTTCTTAGGGTCGGAACGATCCCGAGGGATGCTCGTCTTTAACAGCGAGTTTGTTACCTGCCTCGTCAGATTTTGTTACTGTATAGGGAGGCCGTAGGTGCTTCAGATTCGTTGGATTTCTGCGAT